TTGCATCAGAAGTAGAAATGAGGGCTCAGGATTTGTTCACTTGTAGCTCACAAGGTCCCAGTTCCTCCCAGAGGCAGAGGTTGCTGATTCCTTTCTTTTTGGAACAGCCACACTCTACAGCTTTTTGTGTGATCTAGCAAAGGGATGGTGCTACATTCACTTGATGGTTCAATGCTAGCCACGCCCTCAGAATGCCACAAATTTATCACAAGTTTAACCTAAAAGAAACTAATCCTCAGGGGACTTCATAGAATGTGATCATTTTACAGTTGGGGATTATGTGATTTCTAGAAGAACTTGCCCATATGCAGTGATGGACCAGAGTTCAACTCTCCTCTGTTCAAAATCAAAGTCTAGACTTGAATTTCTGTTATTGATTTTCAAAATATGCAAATCAATCCTTCTGTGGATTGTGAGATCCATTAATTTTGTAAATGAAGTAGAAAGGAATAGCAAATATCAGGGTGCAGAAAGGGTAAGTAATGTTTGGAGAGGGTTTCACTTCAGTTATGTATATGGAGTGTGCATAGGAGTGTGCATATGTGTGTGCTCAGATGGCCATTGTAGGTGGTACTAGTCACACTGATGGCGTCCAGTGAAGGAGCTTTGATGGCCCTGGATGTGTCTCAGGCTGCTCAGGGGGTGGAGCACAGCAAAGAATCAGAGAATGAAAATAAGTGGCTCCTGGAACTGAGGTGACTTTACTGTCATGAGTGTGAATACAATCACAGGAGACTCACTGAAAGCTAGAGTCCTAATGAGAGGACTTCAAGGGAAGACGGTTACATTTAACCTGATWTTCTATTAAAAAACATTCTGTCTTATTGCAAAGTTTTGTCATTGAGTTTAACACAAAAATATACTTGTCTTTACCATTAGAAGTACTTCTGAAAAATTGTGTATGATTGAATTTTAAGTATCAAAGTGTTTAAAATATTCACATTTTAAATTATGGCACACAAAAATCTAAATTTTATGAAGTATAAAATCCTTTAGAAATACTGAATTAACTCTCAGTCTGTTAGGAAGTCCCTTGTGTGTATGAAGGAAGTGGAGGAGGCGTGTTCAGCACAAGGAAAGGGAGAGTGAGGCTCACACTTGTGCCAGGCGTGTTGAGCTGCTCAGGAGCTGAGTTCTCAGGGCCGCATGATCCTCATCCTCACACTGGGCTCCCTCAGCTGTTGACTGAATCCTGTTACACAGGGTGATGAGTTTTACCTTACATAAGGCTCTATCATGATGCTCTTTCTTCTAAGTGACTTTCTCCAACTTCTGAATGTGAGGCTTCCAAAGGCCAGGCCAAGACTGGGACAGAAGTCCCCATGAAGTTTTGCTGGGTGGACAAAGTGGGACCAAGAGACTGGATGCTTTGCTGGGGTCCCATATGAGTTCCTCACTCATAGTCAATATCTAGTTGTGAGTGTCCCCTCCATGACTGTTAGGCAAGAGATAGATATGAGCAGTGGGTCAGGAGTTTAAGAAACACTCAATACAGTATGAAATGGTTCATCACAGTTCTGCCTCATTGGAGCAGCAATGTCTGACAGGATGGCTATTTCAGGACCCTTGCCTGGTCTCAGCTCTATAACCTATTCCTCCTAAAATGGAGGAAAATAGATGAATTCAAGGGCCAAAAAAACACAAAAAGCAAGCATATGTTTGCTCAGAGGGGTCAACTGCTAAGACATCTTCAACAAGACCCTACACAAACAACACACATCAGAGATTTCCAGGCCGAGAAAAGCAGGATGATTAAGACTGGAGCCCCCTGACCTTAAATCTTGTCAAGCTAGACTTAATTAAGACCTGTCAGTGAGGCCAAGATAACCAAGAGTTGCTCTTAGGTTGTTAGCTAATGTAGTGTGTCAATCCAGAGGCCAGAGGCAATACCTCTGTGGTATCTTCTAAAACCTCTCTCCCACTCCAATAGAAGCTGGGACACAAACAAGTATGCTTTTGCTTTCTCCTCTCCCTCCCTTGAGGGTGYTTCTTTCCCCTTGTTTCTCTTCTAATAAACTTAGCTATACTTTCACTAAGTCTTAGGTCTTGCTTGAAACCCTCTGATGTGAAAAACACAAGAGCTGAGAACACAGTGCATTCTCTCTGGTAGGATCTGGGCATCTTCTATCCCCTATTACCACAACCACCTGGGGACAGCTCCTGGTGTCCTACTGCAGAGGACACACTAAAGGTGAGGAGGGATGGCCACCTCCTGCTCACACACTTCAGTGTGGGTTATTTGAACTCCTCTGGTTCCAGGTCAGGCCTTCTGCACTCCAGCTTGGAACCCTCCCCTCCTTCTATGCTTCTCTCTGAGGAAATTTCCGTATTTTCCCAACCAGAGTCCTATAGCCACCTGAAGATGAGAAGCAGAGGGAGCTAGGAGACATAGAATTCATGAGCAGCTTTTCAGGGGCTTGATGAGAAACAAAAACAACAACAACAAAATGATAAAATTGTCTCTTGCTTTTTCCTTGACAACCCCCAAAATGAGTGAATTGAAAACTAGAATAAGGATATTTGCTTCATTAAGAATATGGGCTTGGGGGCTGGGGTTGTGGCTCCGAAGCAGAGCACTCAGCTCCCACGTGTGAGACCCTGGGTTTGATCCTCAGCACCACATGAAAGTAAATAAACAAAATAAAGATATTGTGCCTATGTACAACTAAAAAAATATATATATATTAAAAACAAGAATATGGGCTTGTTTTGAAAGGACTATAATCTACAACAATTCCAGTAGTAGGTTAAAAGAGGTATGTCTCTGAGCTGGTTTCCACCCCCTACCATATAGAAGGCTGACTTACAGAGAAATCACTACTTTCCTCTTGGGGTAGGTGAACTCAGTACATTGTTTAATTTCTTTTTCCTTTTCTTTTTTTTTTTTTT